TTCTAGTTATATTGGTGAGATTCCTAGGTGTTTTTTAACAAGGGATCAAGCATCATTAATTATTTGTCCACTGGTCAAAGTTATTATTCATATTAAATGTTAAATACAGTATCATTCACTTAAATGCTCAATTATTTTCAGTAGTACATCAAAAATATTTGGTCGTTTCTCCCTAAAGTGGATTCGCTGGACGCTGCTTCGCCTGGACTTGTTAAAGTCGATTAGACCAATGACAAACAACACTATACAACACAGCTTATTAAAGATGCCTTTTTCCTTGGATTCTATTAGTGCCATTAGTAAAACAGGTTGAGCGCTCTGAACGATCTTAGAAATCTGGACGGTTGCTATGTCCATCCTATAGAAAATTCTCAGCAATTTTTGCTCCTCCGAACAGATATTTTACTTATTTTACAGAAAACAGTCGCTGGGTGCCCCTGACTCTTCGGTAACGAACTAAATGCGATCAACAGACCAGGCCTTTGATGCTTTTCTCGTAAATAATTGAGTACACTAAAAAATAAGCAAACATATACATTTTAGGCGACTGAAACTATCATTTTCTTTGAAATGAAGCAAATGGTCGAGATTTTACCTTTCTCTAGGTCATCCATATCTGTGTCCTAGAAACAGAACGCGAGCGTCGTGTAACGCAACCACGAGTTCGTAACATGATCCGAGAGGAACTGGGACTAGGAAAACAAAATGGTGGCTGAAAGCCACAGGGAAGAAAAAGGATTATCTGGCCTTTTTTACCCTCCAAATGGGTTAAATTTTCAGTTTTACTAATTAATTTTTTTTGTTGATCCGAGTTGATCCAAGTCCACTTTTATTTTATTTTTATTTTTTTTATTCGATCCGAGTTGATCCGAGCTGATCCGAACCGGACAGGCGATCCGAGTTGATCCGGTCCGACTTTTGTACCTGCCTCTTAAAAAGACCAAACATTGGGCCGTGTTAAGAAAACGACTAACGACACAAGATCTGTCAGGCCTTTCCCCTGCCGTCTTTAACCTTCGCATGGTCCTTTGCGGTTCATCACCAGTCGCTCGCCTCTACCTTGAAGAAGCGAAGCGCCTGAGGAGGAGGCTAAATAAAGCCGGTTACGATTAATTGTCAGTGGTCGGGAAAGATGGCGGGTTTGTCTTTGAGCCGCTCCTGTTTTCTCTGATCTGGTCTCGTTGTTTTCGTCTAAACTTTCATATAGTTTTAGTTCAATCTGATTAACAAGATCCCTGACAAACGAAAAAAGCAAAAGAAAGCCAACACTCCGCCTCCAGAAACCGGAGTCTTTAAAGGTCGTGATCCAGTGGATCCGGTGAAGTCTTCGGTCCTAAAGCTTCTTCATAGTATGATCAACTCCTTTATGGACTCTGTTGTTACCAGTACACATGTGCGTATTGATGGCGTAGTCAAGGATGTCGCTCAGTTAACAGCTAGTCTGGAGTTTATTCCAAAGAAATTATCCGACCAAGCTGAAAAGATCAAGTCAATCGAAGATAACGTTTCTAAAATCGAGGCAACGATAAAGACACATATCGAGAAGACCGTCTACTTAGAAAATCAAAGTAGACGAAACAATCTGCGCCTTGAGGATTATACTGGAAGATGTCGACAATGAAACATGGGATGAAACGGAAGAGAAACTTAAGAATGTCCTTGGCGAAAAACTCGAAAAACTCGACTTTGAATCCGCTCCAGATATTGAACATGCTCATCGCACAAGAGGTGCCATCTGTAGATCCATGCGCTAGAAGGCATGATGGAACTTCAAAACCGAGAATGGTCATTTGTAAGTTTACTAGTTATAAAACCAAGGAGGCAATTCTCAAGAAGGCAAGGAGAATCACACCCAAAGGTGTAAATATTTTTGAATACCTAGCCGAGGAGAAAATGGAGAAAAGAAGGGCACACCTGTCTCAGCTAAGGTCTAAACCCAACCCTAACCCTAACCCTAACACAAACCCTAACACTAACAATGACCCTAACAATAACCCCTAACCCCTAACCCCAACCCTAAACCCTAACCCAAACCCTAACCCTAATCCTAACACTAACCCTAACCTAACCCTAAATCTAACCCTAACCCCTAACCCTAACGTTAACAATAACCCTAACTCTAACCCTAACCGTAAACCCTAACCCTAACCATAACCCTAATCCAAACCCTAACCCTAACCCTAACCCTAGCCACTAACCCAAACTTTAACAATCACCCTAACCCTAACACTAAACCCTAACCCTAACCCTAACCCTAATCCTAACACTAACCCTAACCCTAACCTAACCCTAAATCTAACCCTAACCCCTAACCCTAACTTTAACAATAACCCTAACCCTAACCCTAACCGTAAACCCTAACCCTAACCATAACCCTAATCCAAACCCTAACCCTAACCCTAACCCTAGCCACTAACCCAAACTTTAACAATCACCCTAACCCTAACACTAAACCCTAACCCTAACCCTAACCCTAATCCTAACACTAACCCTAACCCTA